TACGCCTTCTTTCTTTGCGTGAACATTTGGGCGGCGTTATGCAAATCTTCCCACATAGTGAGGTAGATATGTGGGGGCGTGTTAGAACGAGCCGTTTTAGGTAGGTGTGGCTGACTCTGAACTTTTATAAAGAATATCTCTTTGGATTTGAGACTTTAGTCTTTGCAACTTTACAGATCTTCTTTATGCACCAAGAGCTTGTAACACTCCAAAGAGAAAGGAAAAATTGAAATCGCATCATATGACCCCTTTAAAAAGAGTTCTTTAATCAGGAAAAGTCAGAAATGGTTTAAGCAAACCCCCATATTTTTTGCACTTTGACAGGAAATGGTTTATTCAATGCAGAGTTTGGTTGAGTAAATATGTCTTACAAAAACGAACCTTATATATTTATATATATACTTGTATCTAATATTATTATATATTGGCCAATTCAAAACTTTGGCGTCATTGGTTTTGAAAGGTTGCATTTATTTGATCATAAATACAGTAAAAGGATAATATTGTGAAATATTAAACAGTTAAAAATAACTATATTCTATTTGAATATATTTTACAATGTAATTTATTCGTGTGATGACAAAGCTGAATTTTCAGCAGGCATTAAATTCAGTCTTCAATGTCACATGATCCTTCAGAAATCATTCTAATATGCTGATTTGCTGCCCAAGAAACATTTCTTATTATCAATGTTAAAAATTGTTGTGCTGCCTAATATTTTTGTGGAAATCTTGATACATTTATTTCTAAGATACTGAATATAAAGTTTAAAAGAACAGCATTTATTTGTACTATTATCCATGTCTTTACTGTCACTTTTGATCAATTTAATGCGTCCTTGTTGATTAAAATTGTTTTTTTTAATTTTCTTAAACAAAACAATTTTGAACAATAGTGCATGCATGCCAATACATGGATTATTGGGCTAAAACTATAAAAAATTATCTGTTATCATATTGGCACATTCTTGGTTTTCCCCAGTGCTTTGTTTTAAATGCAAACAAGCTGATTGGCAGAACACACATGCTCTACCTTGGACTCGCAGTGGGCGGCAATCTCTTCAAACGGAGCCTTCTGGAACTTCTCCATCACTTGCCGTCTCCTCTCCCTCTCCTGTTCCTCCAGACCTGTGGTATCTGAGAGAGATGGAGCGACATCAGACGCTAGCACACAAACACACACTGAGCAGACTAATCCACACGTACCGATGGCCTTCTTCAGGGTCTCAAACGTGATCTCCTCTGCAAGCTGAGACTACAGGATAAACAAACAAATATGTTCTTTAGTCTAATTCTTCATGAATTAGCATGAACAACTCAAGCATGTTTAAATTGTGTCCAGTGTACCTGATCAGGCAAGCTGTTGGAAAGGATGTCAACTTGGAGAGAAATAGTGTCGACAAAACTCTTCCTACGGGGCAGTTGATCTTCATCTGTGGGACAGAAGTCACTCATATAAATGGTGGAAGCTTTGAGAACACATATTTCTGATCATGCACAGATTCGATCTGGATAACTAAACACAGTATTCACATTTGTGATATATGGGTTTAATTCACCTCTTATACATGAAGGGAGGTGAATTTCCCAAAGCCAGCCAGTGCAATCTCACTGACTGCTAATGAATGTAATGTTGAGGCAAAGTGGCATGAAATCATTATTAAACAGAAGGAAATGCAAATCACACAAACACAGGCAGCAATCACAGCAAAACAGGTTTCAAAACAAAAATTCATAAGTAAAAGTGAGAGTTTCAAGGCAAGAGTGCTGATGACACATCAGAAGTAAACCAACTCCATAAACATTTCATTTCAGGAAACAAATACAGTATATACACTCACATTCCATCAAAACATCCCTTGCATATTTGTTTTTCCTCATTATAACCGCATAATATTAAAGGGATAGTTCACCCAAAAATGAAAATTTGATGTTTATCTGCTTACCCTCAGGGCATCCAAGATGTAGGTGACTTTGTTTCTTCAGTAGAACACAAATTATGATTTTTAAGTCCAGCCATTGCAATCTATCAGTCGTATAATGCATGGCAATGGTAACAAAATCTATGAGAGTAAAAAAAACATGCACAGACAAATCCAAATTAAACCCTGCGGCTCGTGACGACACATTGATGTCCTAAGACACGAAACGATCGGTTTGTGCCAGAAACCGAACAGTATTTATATCATATTTTACACTTCCGGCGCTTGTGTAAACTACGCCACAGCGCGTACACACACTCACGCACCGGATGCCGTGCGCGCGCTCAAGGAAGTTGGACATAGTGTTGTATTGGAGGTAAAAAATGATATAAATACTGTTCGGTTTCTCGACACAAACCGATCGTTTCGTGTCTTAGGACATCAATGTGTCGTCACAAGCCGCAGGGTTTAATTTGGATTTGTCTGTGCATGTTTTTTTTACTTTCATAGATTTTGTTACCATTGCCATGCATTATACGACTGATAGACTGCAACGGCTGGACTTAAAAATCATAATTTGTGTTCTACTGAAGAAACAAAGTCACCTACATCTTGGATGCCCTGGGGGTAAACAGATAAACATACAATTTTCATTTTTGGGTGAACTATCCCAAACTAATGTTTTCCTATTATAAGTTTACACCACAAGAAATGAATAAAACTTTAACAATTTTATATACAATACATAGTACAAGTATAATTTTTAATTATATTTAATATATATTAATTATAACTGTGCCATTAATATTAATTAATATTAATTCAAACCTCACCAATTCTTTGTAATATTAATAATAATATCTATTTATCAAATCAGCACTGGAATCTGTGACCAAATTTATGTGTAAACTAAACCCTCTACTCAAAGGGTTTCTCTAGTTCAGCAGGTTGAAAGTGAGGTCCAAAAATTCCAATAAAATGTCAAATGATGCTTCATCAGCACTCTCCCTTTGACCCAAGCTACTGAACTATGAGCTCAAACCGTTGTGTGATTTCTCTTTAACCTACCAGTAAAACCGTCCAGACGACAGCACCGTACAAAACACCAAACAGGACCAATTATCTCATTACACAATATACCTGCTGTATATTTCATCCCAATGCAGAAATTAATTTAACAACACATTCAGGAGCTACAGGAAATCTGTCACGGCTGCTACAGAGGAGAGGAAGTCGACATATGTAACAGTGGTAAACTTACGGCTGGGCTAGGGAGAAACTAACTACATATTCGTGCTATTCACTAAACCTTCTATCCACACACACATGGACAGGTGACCTCACTAACTCACTGATGGTACCTCTGGATGTCTGTCTGCATCTGTGCAGAATCTTTCCTACCGTGTAAAGGACTACAGTGCAAACACACAGACAGAGAGAAGGCAACAGTGAATGAAGCGGGTGAATTCACATGTGACAAGAAATCATCTTCAGGAAGTTAGTATTAACAGTAAAACTAGTATTTTAGAGGTTTAGAGGGACTTGGTGATTAATCTTAGCACCAGGTTCTTGGCTGGAATACACTACATGACAGATTTTAAAACACTAGGCATCATACACTTGCCGAATTTGTAAGTGGATACAGAGAAAAACTGGGCATCATACACTAAAAAACTGAGAATCAAACACTACCAGACTTTCAAGACTTTCCAAACATAAACTCATACAGAAACGTGTTTCGTTTCTAGGATATGCATGACAAATGAAAACTATTTGTATTAAAATCAGCTCAAAATATCAAACATGTCATATCCTCTGACTGGATGGAATCAAATTTGTCAACTACTACTGCCCAAAATCTGCAGGCTAGCTATGACTTTCAGCTACTAGACATGGAGGCAGCAGATCAGGCCAAAAATACGGGCAAAAGATGTGTAGTGTATTGCAGCTTTAAGTAAGGTTAAGTGCTTAAAGACAGCACGAAATGGCATTCACAATCATTTTATTTTCATAATGTGACATATTTTCATCTGAAATGAAATATTCAATGAGAAAAATATATATTTTACCCACTGTGATTTGATTGGACAGGGAAATGCTATACTTTTAATTAACATTATTATTGCCTAATCAGCAAAAAAGTAATTTCACATGCAGAAAACTATTTTATTTATTTATTTTTTTTTAAGTATAACAAAAATTAAATGTCAATATAGGGTTAATTAGCATGTAATGTTGCTGCTTAAGATTTAATCTTTAATATTAAATTAAATCAGATAACGTTTGATTTCTTGAACAGCACAGAATAGTGTTTACCTGTAACCTGCGGTATGTACGGAACAGCTAGTCTCTCTACGTTATATCCAGGTACAGACAGAGCTTCTGCCAGATCAGCCGTCTGAAAATACAAACCAACGTCGTCCCGGTCTAAATTGTCTGGGAGCCTGATCCACACACACAAACATACAGATACACACAAGGAAAGAGACCTGGAATGAGTTATGGCATTGTTATTATACATTAATAAAATCAACAGATTCAAGCTATGGCCGAAATTAAAAGGTTAAAAAAAGGTTAAATTTAAAATAAATACTTAATTTTAAAGGCTAAAGTAAATTCAAGAATCACAACATTGTAATGTACAGCATGAAAAAATTGATATTTATTTTGAGTTCAGCTAAAGATTACATTTAATAGCTTTATTAAATTATTAGCGTTTTTAAAGATTAACTTTAAGTGAATGTTAGATGAAGCCAAAGGTAAGCATAATTAATTATCTTTTATCGACTGATATCTATAAATAAAAAAAAAACTCTAATTTTGGCTGATTACTGATATTCTTCTTAAGAACAAACACATTCACAGAAATACTCACACACACTTCTCTCTGAAGACGTGTTCAGGCAGAAGGTGCGGAGCATCTAGATTTCTCATCTCAATCACCTGACAGGAAGAAAAGGAGTTACAGGATGTTGTATGTAGGATACGTGTGTGCCATATGTGCATGTGCGCACATTTACCTTGCTGACGTGTTGGCAGAAAGGGGGATTTGCAATCATCTGACTGAGGAAGTTGAGGTATGCGGCGACCAATGCCATGATTCCACAGCGAATAAACATTGGCATGTTCTCCTCATTGGCCAGGGCCATATCCTTCAGCCAATCAAAACACATATTAGCATAACAAATAGGAAATCTTGGACAAATTGCTTCTGCTAAGTCTCTTTTTTGAATGCAAGCGTCTGCTAAATGAAGAAATGTCAGTGTAGGTGAGCATACCTGCAGGGCGATGGACAGGCGTATGAGATCAATCACCACCTCCTCATTGGCAAGTTCAATAGTGATCAATGCCAGAGCTGTGAAAAGCAGCTCAAAGTTCTTCTGCACATTATCTTCCTCCTTACAGCCCAGATAGATGTGTCTGTATAGCTGCTGCCCATGCTGGAGTGAGAGAGATCAACAGTTTCAGGGCTGCGGTTCCATGTGTGTGTAGTTGTGACGTCTGTGTGCGTTTATGAAGTCTTGTACCTTTTTCATGAAGACCACATCCTGTTTGGAGATTTTTTCTCTCTTGATCTTCAGAGCGGCTACATTAGGAATAATCCTGCACACAAACACAAAGGAAATGGTTCAGTAAGCGTTTATTCTGAGGCAGATGCATCAGAACACACACTCTCACCTAAAACTGCTGACACCAGAGTTATGTTATAATTGTTAACTAAAACTATTAAACTTTAAAAGTTGTTTTCGTTAATTGAAATAAGGCTTAAAAATTATATATATATATATATACATAATATATAAAAAATATCTAATACAAATTATTAATATATACTATAACAGTATACCAACAATAAAAATAAAACTTGTATGTCAATCAAGTAAATCTTTTAATTGTGATTGACCTTGTAATTCTTTCAAGGAGTAGTTCACGCAAAAATAGTGGAATATATTGTACTATAGTGATACAGATTAGATTCATGATACATTTATGATGCTTTTGTGTACTTTTTGAAGTTTGACCTCATCCACATTTGCTTTCTTAAATAAAAAAAAATGTATGGTCTATAAAAGAAAGATCACATACTGACTTTTAAAACAACAATAAATAAAATTTTAATGTTAAAAAAAAGAATTTCAACATACAAAGAATGCAAAAAGGACGGTAAACATCCCATCTGGGTTTGATGTATAAATGAATAACCCATAACCCACTTGTGCTGCAGCTCCTTTAATGAGGTTTTACGAATCCCACAGAACATAATGAAACAGTTATATGTCAAATTGAATAAATGCATTTACAGCATTAAAAACGGTGTTAAATAATTTAATTAATTGCAGGTGTTAACGCATTCCCTTTTGACAGCTCTAGTTTTCACACATTCACTTTAGCGTGTTAAGTGTGCATCCATACCGGATCCCTCTGAGTTTGGCTCTGTTGTCATGGCGATCAATGATGTTGTGCAGAATCTCCAAGACGAGCAGCCGGAGTTCACTGTCTTCCATCAAAGAGATAGAGCATAACGGCTCCAGAAACGCCATGGGCAGGCCAGCACAAATCGTTTTACACTTAAACCCTGACGTAACCTACACACACACAAACACACAGAAAGAATCCATCAGATATGAACAGTACCACCATTATAGTACATATTTACACTAGTAACTCTAGAAACACTGTTGCGCTCGTGGAAATGGCCACAAGTGGAGACGTGCTGATATCGCGTTTGGTCTCGTTCTGTATCGCGTATCTTTTGTTTTCTGTGTGGAGACGTTACCGTGTTTGATACCGTGGCTGATACCGTGTTTGGTCTCGTTCTGTATCGCGTATCTTGTCAGTGTCTGCGCTTGCTTGACCATTTGTTGGGAAAAAAATAAGGAAAAGTGTGTCCAGCTGAATTAATTTAGTATTCTGTTAGACGGGTTTAAAAAAAGCTTAGTTTACCGCAGCAGCCGTCGCGTGACGGCCTCCACGTGTGAAGACCGAAGAGTGTAAAGACCATCGACTCTACCGTGCGACCGAAGAGTGTAAAGACCATCGACTCTACCGTGCGTGTCTTCATTTATTATGTCCGTATAGGTCTTTTATTAAGTTTTAGTTTTATTTCATTTAAATTATTTTAATACTTTACCAAACTAAATGGAAATGCAATAATATATATATTGAATTTATAAATGTGTATATATAGATGTATGTGTGTATGGTTGTGCATACACATATATGTAGTTGTTTTTTTGGTGTTTGGCTTAGTGTTATGTTAGAATCATTATTATACTCTTATACCTTTTATTCTTTAATATTTTGAATTGTTTTTAGCTTTATTTTTTGTTTTTCATTTAAATGTTAAGTTTTGAAAATTTGTTGTATGCATTTGTCATTTTTATTTAATTTCTTTATTTTTAAAATATGTATAAGTAGTATTTATAAAGTTTTTGCTTTTAGTTTTGGATCTGTTTTTAGTTGTTTTAATACTACAATTGATTGCTTCTGTTGTCCTCATTTGTAAGTCGCTTTGGATAAAAGTGTCTGCTAAATGACTAAATAAATAAAATAAAATAAAAATAAAAGTGGGAGAAGGAGAGCAAAAGCTGTTGACATCCAAAATAACAATTGTACATCTCAACCTGCGGCCCATTTCCTGCCTGTTGCTGGGCAACAGTGCCTGAAAAGTTGCCCTGTCTAAAACCAGACTAAAGACAAAATTGGACATTAGGAAAAAAAAGAAGAAAAAGGACACAAAGCACCACAGGCAGCTGTAATCTAATGTTATGATCCGTGCAGTCTGCTGTCTAGGAACCTTCAGAAACTCCCTCTAGGAGAGAGTGGAGGGTTTTTACTAACAAGCTCAGAGACAGAATATAAGTCTAATATATTCACTAGTCATGACTGATAACTCTGAAATGATACCTGATACAAGCCTTAAAGTGCGGTCACATTAGCAAAATTTCTGCGATTTTTTTCTAGCAAAGTAAGTTCCGTTCACACTACCAGCGACTTTTTCGCTGTATGTCGCTAGACGCTTGTGGGCATTCCTACTGCTGTCGCTCTAATGTTATTGGTAGACTGCACGTCTGGACATATCTGGACATATAAAATGCAATCACAAATTGTATATTGCCGGTAAAACTAAGATACCATGCTATTATGACTAGGAATTAGACTTAAATTCTGCTGTTGGAGAGTGTTGTGTAGATAACTTGACTACTTAAATTTGTAAGGGAATTAATTATTATTAATTCATTCAGGTTTTGATAGGACTCGGGTCTGAATCCCCGAAGCTCACCTGATTAAACCGATTTCAAATTTGTTATGTTACACTTTAAATCAAGGGTCGTCCAGCGAGCCGTGACCTCAGTATATTTTAACAAATTGACTATGTATTCTCCATCATGTAATTAACAACTCGAACCATCAACGTATGAATCAAACTCACTTAGACAGCCAACAGTTTCTTATCTACACATAATTTTTTATATCCATGTATGTGGTTACAGTAAAATCATATAAAACAGTGAAATCGCTCAGGAAATCTGTCCTGTCTTGCCTGCACTCGAGACGGTGACGTGTGAGCGCCACTGACAGATTCTTCACTCCTATTGGTTGTCGCTCGCGAAATTCGCTGTTCATTTGCATAAAGTTAAACAATTCTTAACTTTTGTCGCTTGACACGCCAACATTCTGTCACCAACGGTCACTGTCGCTCGTGTCGCCGGAAGTCACCAGCTCTCCATTGAAAATGAATGGGAGCATGTCGCTTTGTCTCTGTGTGTCGCTGGCAGTGTGAACGGGGCTTGAGTCAGTCATCTATTGTCGACAGTGATGTATGAAGCAGAGCTCACACAGAAGTCACTTTCAAACTGAGCAGCTTTCTGTTAGTCAATGCGACAAATTTGTTTGACAGAGTGAACCTGATGCGAAATTTGCGCGAGGAAATCTTTCGCCATCATGCAAAATTACAGACTGCGTGGATTCCTATTTAAATTAATGCCTTTTGCTGGCAAAAATTCAGCGAGCAAGGACAAATGTGATCACACCTTTAGTTTCACTTCATCATCACTACCTTACACACACACACACACACACAAAAGAAAAGAAAGAAAAGAGGTTTACCATAATGAGAGAACTTAACAGCATTGCCTGGATTCTCTTAGTGCCCTGATGCCTGAGAAAGAAAGAGGAGATAATTCAAAATCTTTGATTTTGAGTTTCCATTTTTACATAAACAATGGCTCGAGCCCTATTTGCAAACTATACACACTAAAAAGTATGTGCATAGTAGTAGGAATTTCAGTAGTTGGTAGCAAAATCAATGAAAATGAAATTTGATGGATCTTTATTATTTGACAAATCTTGATTATTATTTGATGAATCAGAAATATTATTTGAGATTATTATATTAGACTAAAACTATGGCATAAAGCCTTCAAAAACATCTCAATTATGTAAACATTACTTGAATTTGTTCCAGTTATTCAGGAGAAGTAAATAGTAATGCAGTACAATACAGAACAAAAAGAGGAATAGTACAAATAAAAACAACTAAACAAAGACACAAATGAAAAAAAAAAAACAGTGCCTAAAGTTTTTTTTAAATCTGTAACCGCAATATTTCGAGGTCTGATTTGTCTGTTTACACACTGAAAACGCACTTTTGACATCCCTGATTACAAGTTATTTGCATGTTGCAAATGTGCATGTGTCAGTTTAACATGCACACTTAAACTTTTTCCAAACACTACAACTGCCATGATGACTGTAGAATCACACACACTGTCCTACCCGATCTTGACGGTGTCCAGCGTGTGACACGGCGTGCCGTAAACAGGAACTTTCCCCATAACGAACATCATCACTTCAGCTCTCTGATAATCAGGAAGATTTCCTCCAAAGAAACCTAGACACGCACACAAATCCATTTTATTGAATTGGTTCAGTATTTGGACATAACAAGAGTTCTTATTTTAGTGAGCATGTCAAGCTGTCACCGATGGTTTGGATGATGGCATTCTGGACGATCCGCTCCTCGCTCTCTTTGGTGCGGGTGGAGGAAAGGCTGCTCGCGGAGTTCCTGCGGGAACCGTCGCCCAGCTCAAAATCCACACTCATACGCAGATGCTTTAGCAGGGTGTTAAACACCTCCAGGACCGTGGGACCTGAGAATTAGCACACAGACAGCACAAAAGTAATTATGCAGAATCATGCAGATTTTCCTTCAAAATCAGCACAAAAGATGCTTAAAACATCACATTCTGTCTGGACCTACTGAATAATCACTGTGTGATATTAAAGTGATAGTTCGATGAACATTTTGTCATCATTTACCCACCCTCATGTTGTTCCAAACCTGTATTTTCTTTCTTCTGCTGAACACAGAAAAATATATTTTGGTAATTTTTCCATAGTATGGAAAAAAAATACTATGGAAGTCAATGGCTACCGTCAACTGATTGGTTACCAACATTTGTCAAATATTTTGTGTTCAACATAATAAAAAAACTCATACAGGTTTGGAACAACATGAGGGTGAGTAAATAATGACAAAATTACCATTTTGGTGAACTATCCCTTTAAAAACCACATTAAAGGGTTAGTTCACCCAAAAATGAAAATTCTAATTACTCACCCTCGTGTTGTTCCAAATCCGTAAGACCTTCGTTCATCTTCGGAACACAATTGAAGATATTTCTGATTAAATCTGAGGGCTCTCTGACCCTCCCATAGACAGCAAGGTAACTACCACGTTCAAGGTCCAGAAAAGTACCAAGCCACACGCTCGCGTCATGGTACTGTCGTGAACACGCGTCCACAAGTGAAGCAGTGAGACGAAAATGTGGAATAAAGTCGTTATTTTTGTTTTCTTTGCACAAAAAAGTATTCTCGTAGCTTCGTAACTTTACAGTTGAACCACTGATGTCACACGGACTACTTTGTCGTCTTGGTACTTTTCTGGACCTTGAACGTGGTAGTTACCTCGCTGTCTGTGGGAGGGTCAGAGAGCCCAACACGAGGGTTAGTAATTAATGACAGAATTTCATCTTTGGGTGAACTAACCCTTTAAAAAAAAAAACATCAGACCATGTGACTCAAACTAGACGCAGGAACTAAAGAGCACTGCTAGGGGGCACTGCAGTTTCTCTACACAGCAAACCCTCAAAACCTTCAGTCACTTGTCACCATACACCATAAAAACCACATGACTGACCCCTAATGAGTGCACTAGTTCACCATACACACGCCCAATTTAGTGACCACCTGAAGATTTTGACTGGGTGACAGCTGTGTTAGTTAACATACCCAACCACAGACTGGGTAGTGAAGAGACAGGACTGAGAAACGTGTAAGCATTGTTTTGATTATGTGCAATATGACCTGTGAGAAAAAAACAGATTTCAGGAAAGAGACATGGAATAAAGAAAAAGACAATGAGGAATGAACATCAGAAGAGATGAAGAAATGACAAGCGGAAATGTAGTTTGTTATTTTCGGCATCTACACACAAGCAAAAGAACAAACAGAATGACATTAAAAAAAGAAAGAAATGAACATAATGATTTTTGGATGAGAATAAAACAGCAACAAGTAGATTTTTACATTTAAACCGTACACAAAAGGGTGCATTAAACTGATTAAAAGTGACAGTAAATAAATTTTTAATGTTACAAAAAAAGCAGTTCTTTTGAAATTTCTATTCACTGAAGAATCCTGAAAAAATGTATCACGGTTTCCGCAGAAATATGAACAAGAACAACAGTTCTCCACATTGATAATAATAAGAAAAGTTTCTTGAGCACCAAATCTTATATCAAGATCATATGACACTTTCATGTTTGCCATCACAAATTACATTTGAAAATATATTAAAATAGAAAACAGTTATTTTAAATTGTAATAATGTTTCACAATAGTACTGTTTTCACTTTATTTTTGATCAAACAAATGCAGCCTTATTGAGCACAAGAGACTTCTTTCAAAAACATTGAAAAAAGTCAACGGTACTGTAAACGTAACAATGTATAAAATATCATGTTTACATTTTCTTTCAAAAAAAAAAAATTATAATAAAAACTCCACAAAGCTAGGATGGTTACTTCAAAGCCAGAATGTGAATGTCCACAGTTTGTGTGAGTCTATGGGATTTGTTTAGCTGTTTTAAGTCTTAACACTCAGACAAATACATCTCTCCACACAAAGCCACACAATTTGAGTTATCATCTATGTCTGTAGCACAAACCGTGCAGGACGAGTTACATGCCAAAGTTTAATTCTTAGGGTTAATGGTTTGTAAATCTTACACAAAGTATGAGCAGTAATAACCATGATGCTTGTCTTAGATGATCAGTACTCAGTCTTACCGATGGAGCCCTTGGCTGCTATGGCAACCGTCTCCAGCAGCACCTGAACGATACCTGCCCTCACACGTGGGGTGTTCTTACTGTGGGTGTCAAGGTGAGACAACACTTGCTGGATCACATGGTGAGAATGCTGGGCCTGAAACACACACACACACACACACACACACACACACACACACTTCATTACACATGCTGTAGAAGTGAATTTACTCTCCATTATCATTAAATGCTGCAACGGTCACACAGGATTAACGCAAAGAGATGAAGTGAGAATCTAGTCGCTTTACCTGTATTGAGTACATGATTATCCTGAAACAGGAAACAGCAAAATCATTCGGGTCCCACAGACGATGGTTGTCTAAATGCCTGCAGGAAAATAAAGCTGTTTATTATGACCTCTTATAAGACAACATATTTTCTGACAATTCATGGATAGTCATGTATAAGATGTCTTCCTTTCTCTGTGTTTATCAAATATTTAGGATTATTTGATAATGTTTTCAAACCACCAATACTACACCAGTATTGAGTACATGATTATCCATATACACCAAGATGGTTCACTCATATTATTATGAATGGGAGAGAGTGCAATGTGTAATATGATGGAATAAGTCCCACCTTCTAAGGAAAAGAGCCAATCAACAAATGGTAGTCAGTGTCTAGAAATGTGTGCTTGAGACTGCAACCTGGAATATATGCTTTTAATGCTATTTGAGCATAAGAAACAAAATTTATGAGTCAGTTAATGCCAGATTTTATAGCAGATATGAAACGTTATTAAATTTTGAAAACTGCCATATTTAAATATGCTGAATTTACCCTTTTCTAAATAAAAAATTACTGACCAATTTTATGTTAGTAATCTTTGCCCTCCACAATTTTCTCAAACAAGCTTTTAGCATTTTCTAATGTAAATCTATGGAGAATCTGTGTTTGGAGGTTTTTTATACATTTTATGGAAATTATCTAAAAAAAAAAAAAAAAAAAAAAACCTAGATAGTAATATCACCAGTGTTAAGACAGTGGTACCAATTTAGCTTTCATTATGATCCCACAGAGTAAGACTTTGTCACATATGAGTATTTGTGTTTAGCTCATGCTCAAAACATGGAACAGAGTCTGACAATAGTGAAGTAGAGATGATACAAGTAGAATTTTTGCATCCTTTTCCAAATTTTCCAAAACACACACACACACACACACAGGTTTGTTTTTATGGTTTATGGCACACACGCGCACACAACAACAACAATAACTCATAATTAAAGAGATAGTTCACCCAAAAATAAAAATTTCATCATTATCTACCCGCATTTTGTTTCAAACCTGTATGACTATATTTCTTCTGTGCAACACAAAGAAGATATTTTGAGAAATGTCTCAAATGGTCACCAAAACTGTTTGATACCAGCCTTTTTTAAAATATCTTTTAATGTTTTGAAGAAAAAAAGTCATACAGGTTTGGAACTCAAATTCCATAAATAAGCTAGTTTGGAGTCTTTAAAGGCTCATGTGCAACCAGGCGACCACATTCACAGTCTGTGATTTTATACAGGTGTTTGCAGTCAATTCTTGCACCGCTGCCTGTTACGTCGGCCACGGTGCTTGTATCTACCCGCATTTTGTTTCAAACCTGTATGACTATATTTCTTCTGTGCAACACAAAGAAGATATTTTGAGAAATGTCTCAAATGGTCACCAAAACTGTTTGATACCAGCCTTTTTTAAAATATCTTTTAATGTTTTGAAGAAAAAAAGTCATACAGGTTTGGAACTCAAATTCCATAAATAAGCTAGTTTGGAGTCTTTAAAGGCTCATGTGCAACCAGGCGACCACATTCACAGTCTGTGATTTTATACAGGTGTTTGCAGTCAATTCTTGCACCGCTGTCTGTTACGTCGGACACGGTGCTTCCAACAGCAGCTGTGATGCGGAAAATTGAGCAATCTTTCACCACATCACAAATCCTGTTTCCACACCTTTATCTCTCCTCTTTTCCGCAGTCTGATCTAAGTCTAAAACCTCTATGCCACCATCGTCTCCCTTCCTGCTGTCAAACGTCAATCTGATCTCACCCCCCATCTGATGCGAGCTATTTTTAGAACGCCTGAAATCCCTCTCCACCCAAAAAAAGCTCTCGCTGTCTGTCTGTCTGTCTCTCCGAACACCTTTTTTATGTGTTACCAGCTTTATGTGTTATCAGAGGTACAGATATCTGCCCTGGAGCTCAATGTTCCCTCAAAACCTCACGCAAGTTTAATAAATACAGAGCGCACCGCGCACAGTTTAATTAGGAGAGAGCAAGAGAAAGAGCGAGACATGAGAGACGGAGAGATGTGATGGAGAAGGTGAGGCGGTGTGATAGAGGAAGAGACGCGTTTGAGAGCCCCTTGGCGCTTTGATATTCTCTCTTTACAAACGTCTCATTCAGTACTAATTGGCCAATGACTGAGATGAGACAAAACAGTCTCATTAATGAGCCCCGTGAGTGTCCGCACACACACACACACACACACACACACACACACACACACACACACACGGAGCATACAGCTGCATGTGTCTGAATTGTGTGCTAATAAGCTGCAGATGGAGACCAGGTCAGAGCAGTCAGACCGAAAACTGTTAATTTACACACGACGCAAAGTCAAAGCAGCTCATCTTCAACTCTGAATCTAAAGTTTCACTTTCAGCTGCCATTAAATTCAGACAGACATACGCATATACAGAGCATTTACTCATTATCTTAAATCATAGAAATGCTAATATCTTTGTAATGCTACCGGGTAACACATAATGCTTTAATTTGATTGGACAAAGTGGTTTTTCACTGTTAATTATGAAGTGAATGTACATTACCGGTCAAAAATGTATTAGAATAATTAAGATTCTTTAATGTTTTTGAAATAAGTTTCTTATGCTCACAAAGGCTGTACAACAGTAATGTTGAGAAATATTTGTACAAATTAAAATAACTGTTTTCTATTTTAATATATTTTTAAATGTAATTAATTCCAGTGATGGTAAAAACTGAATTTTCAACAGCCATTATTCCAGTCTTTAGTGTAGTGTCACATGATTCTTCAGAAATCATTCTAAATGATTTTGAATGGTGATGTACTTGTATACAACAATTTGAATAAATACATTTTCTAAAATTCAAATAAATAAATTTTCTCAAATTCAAAACGGAGTATTTCAAATACTTAAATCACATTTTAGGGCATTATAAACGAACTACAGGGGAGCTAGGGGGAGCTCGGCTCCCCTTAATAAGACATGGGCTCCCCTGAAAACGTGATTTGTGAAATTTTGGGGGGTGTCAAAAAATATTGACAATGTGTTATTTTGACGTGCAATTTCAGTTTTGTGTAATGTGAATTCATTGTAAGCCCCCTTTTGAGGCATGCGCAAGCGCACGAGGCATGCATTTTCTGCATGATGTTTATGTTGAGACTGAATGAATCCCATCATGCCCACAGCGTGAGAGGAAGCAGACGAGCGGCTGACAGCAGCAGCAGCAGCAGCGTCTGGACACCTGAGCTCGCAGGCTAACACTGCACTGTGTGTTTGTCTGAAAACATCTGCGTGTCTCTGTGTGTCTCAAAGGGCTCTGGCACCCTTCGTATACGAGTATGCACTGCATATTTGAGACTACAGCTCATCAAGATCATACAACACCTGATCTATCTTTGAACATGTTATCATTGTATTGTCTGCTTTCAGTTTTCTCTTGCAATCTCTGCTCACAAGCAACCCTGAAAAGCGATTAATGGAAACTGACATCCTTGAAAAGATGAAACGGCCACACATATTTTAGCCTGCGCATTTGCGTGTGTGTTACAGGGTTACATGAAATAGCACAGATTTAAAATGGTGCAATACCAATATTTAGCAGATATTTGTACCTTAACGTGCAGGTATTTAGCTCAGTCGAGCAGTTCAGGCAGTGTGATGTGAAGGATAAAAGTTCATGTTTGAGGGTGAATAATGCATCAATGCATGATTGCAGAAACAAATGCATTGAATATGTAATTTATATTAATTTACCATAACTACATTAAAACAGTTAGGACATGTAAAAGCTTTGGTGTGACGATGTGAGGAAGTGACGTGCCCATAAATATGCTTCCAATTCACAAAAATAACTATAAAACTAAACCTACTAGTGATGCAACAAAATTAATTTCAACTGAAATTTAAAGTTTCCATTTAGCCAAAAAAAGACATCAAAAATAAAAGTTGATAACTCAAATAAAACCTGAATTATATACAAACATTTACACTGCAGATATATGCAACTTTTTAATGATATAATTATGTTTCTACTCCAATTAATTGTTGATATATAAACATTTAATTGGTGGCTATAATAGCAAATTTATTAAAATGTGTAATTGTATAAAGGCGCTAATTAATCATAAATGGTATGGTCAATGATTGCGCACATCCAAAACTGTTTCAGCCTAAATTAATTTTCAGCCAAATAGCTAAATCAAAGCCTATCAAAGTGAATCACATGAAACTGTATGGAGTTTCCATAGCAACAAAAAAAAGGGAAGTTATAAAAATAAAATTTAAACTGCAATAGCAACGTCACAATAGCTCCCGGTCTAGATGTGTGCGTTTTAAAAATTATGGAAAATTTTGAAGTCATGGTACCCTGATCACAATGTAATGCTACTACCATGGCAACAAGCCCAGTACAAAAAAACACAACTTAAAGTCAATAGCTGTTCATTTTGCTGTAATGAGTGAATCTGCTTGTTAAGTCTGATGTCACGTGTCATCGCTTCCGGGTCCAAACGCTCTATCAGATGCCACAAGAAAAAAATAAGTGGTGCTTATTCGTTAAAATATTTGTGTCTGGGATGCCGTGGGCACAGAGACTGTGGTGTACACTGTGAAATGCTTAGCTTATGCTTAACTGTGTAATTTGAATAAATAGTGCTCATAAACGGCTGTTGCAATAGTATTCTTAAATGAAATGAGTAGAAGCTTGGACCCGGAATCAGCATTCCTTACATCAAGCGGATAGTGAGTGAACCACTGCTGTTACCATAGTGACAATTCAAACAATAGCACTGAATAATGGTGCCTACAGCACACTGTAGCCATGGCAATGGTACTTACACCAGTACAGGGTGCACGGCGTTGTTCATGTTGCCGTAAGCAGCGCGACCCAGCAACTCTCGAAAGCAACTCTCCGCCAGTGAAGCCGGATTTTCCTCTCCAGTCCTGAGAGAGAAACACATAAGTGTAAGTGCAATGTACTAAACTGTCGTTTACAGTGTGTGGTTTCACATTCTGCATTCTGATGTCAAACACACACACAAGTGTATTAAATGATGCATTAACCTTTTAGGAAGAAACCCAGCCACCTCTCTCTCTCTCTCTCACACACACACACACACACACACACACACACACACACACACACACACACACGTACTCTATGGTCCTTCGGCTCACTGACAGCCCATGGAAAGCAATTAACAGAATCTGACGACCTTGAAAAGCTGAAAAAAACACAACTACGCACACGCACACACATCAGCGGTTTCTATGCGTGTATGAGTTTTCTGGAGCCAATAATAGTCACATATTCAATCTAATCAGAGTGCTGTAAATTAAAGCACCTCAACCACAAGCAGTGGCTATGTTTTGTAAAGGAATACTTGCATACTGCTTTACTTCACAGTATATATTTCCTGCTATTTTTTCAATAAAAAGTTTGTAAAACAGTATGCAGTATGCACTATGTTTTAAACTGAATGCTGTCTACATTGCTGTTTACAGGGCTGTTCACACCAAGGCCGAAAACTACAATGATTTAGGGCTTCACAATTAACCCAAATAAAACCAAAATCGTCATATGGCTTAGTGCGATTATGAAATAAAAAAGGCTGCAATTTAATTATAAATAAATAAATATACAGGTGCATCTCAATAAATTAGAATGTCGTGGAAAAGTTCATTTATTTCAGTAATTCAACTCAAATTGTGAAACTCGTGTATTAAATTGAACTTTTCCACGACATTCTAATTTATTGAAATGCACCTGTATGTGCTGCATGTTTCAGAGTGAAGCACAGCACTGTGTTATTTTCAATGCAAGCAGCTCATGATCCAGTGTTTTCACTATTTCGGAGCAGCTCAGTTTGAAATATTACAATAGTAATAGGTATTATTATTATTTTTACAATTATATTGATATATAAATCACACATCGTGCCAAATTGTGCAGCCCTACAAACAAGCAAAGTAAACATGAAGCTTTTCTTTTTGAATCACAATTTTTATCAGGAAAAAAAAATTGGTGTTTTCACACTACAGCTATTACAATAATGACACAGAGGAACAATATCATTGGAGTACTTTTCAGAAAGATTTTTTTCCAGCTTACAGCCAAACAGAACCCATCAACTTGCATTTTATGCAGAAATTATAAATAAGGAGTAAATAATAAGATTTTGTTGTCTAATCATGGTTAATAGTTAATAGTCACATTAGAGGTGCTTGGACAAGTTCAGTGCAACACAGGACAGAGCACTCAGAGCAGTATGCACTAGTTATATACTGCACATTTTAGCTAATGTAGTAAGTCTGTTAATTCTATGAACAGAAAATGTGCATATTGCGTAAGGTATCCAAAAATAGTCAGAATAGTATAGTAGATTATGCAATTTCTGAATATACTCTTTCTAACTGCAGCTTGAAAGTAATTGCGGTAAATAATTAATTGAATTAAACATTTCTAAAATAGCATTTTAATATATTCAGAGTGACAAGCTTTCAGATGAGAAAAGCATCCGCTGTGACATTAGCAAGTCAGATGTCATTCCCAACCAGCTACACACGTCAATCAAACGCATGCCCAGGTTTGTGTTTGCAACCTTAATCACTGATCAATACACCTGATCGGATTTCAGCTCCTGATTACAGGGCAGAGGGGTATGATTGATGTTTCCGTACTCAAAAACACAAACAGGCAAATAAACTTGAATATTCGGAGCACGCAGGGGCCCTTATCTGTGACACACTCATGTTTTATTCTCGCACAAACACAAACAACCTTAAAGGAATCAGATATCCTTGATTGCCCTCTACCCGTGGACCTCCGAAACTCGCTTATCAGAAAATCTTCCTCCCTGCCTCTCCGTGTGTTATGGTGTTTTTATTCAGTGCATGGTACAGAACAAAAAACATCAAGAACAAATCGAACAGCAAATATCACCTTGAGCATCAAAAATTAAATGATTTTGCCTTCAAGTGTGTGTGTGTGTGTGTGTGTGTGTGTGTGTGTGTGTGCGTGTACTGTACCTCTCGAAGTCCTCATTATCTTGCATGTTGAACAGCATGGAGGGGATGAGTTTATCCATGTGTTGAGGTTCCCAGATGATTGCCTGGAGTTCATCATTCACAGTCTTTCTGACGACACCCTGGAGACCCTTAATGCCTGCTACACGGATCCTACAGCAAGAACAAGTTAAATACACTAAATAAATGAACACTAAATAATGCACTCATTAGTGTCAATTATAGTGGTCCCAAAAGTATTTGGATACTTGAATCACATTTTAACTATAAGAATCTGACTGCATTAAAAAAGACGAAAGTGACGTGACAATCCCTGCCGGTACGAGACTCGAACCTGCAACCTTGGGTTACAAGTCCAACTCTCTAACCATTAGGCCACGACTTTACTAACACAATATCAAAACAATTGGCAGCTAGAAACAAATGATGCTAGAATTTTCTCAGAACTGACTTCAGAATCCACCTATAAATCAGATACAGAGATGAAATATCCACCTATAAGGCTTCAGGCTAGTGGATAAAAATGTTGTAATATATGTACTGGTTTTCTTTCCTTAATTAATGAATTCATTTATTAAATTTAAACAAATTAAATTGAAAACACTGCAAAAATGCAGTATAAACAGTTATTTTTATAATAAAAATATTATTTCGTTTGAAAATATGTTTTCTATTGTAACATATTTAAAAATTTAATTTATTCATGTGACGGCAAAGCTGAATTTTCAGCATCCATTACTCCAGTCTTCAGTGTCACATGATCCTTCAGAAATCATTCTAATATGCTCAAGTAACATTTTGTATTATTATCAATGTTGTAAACAGCTGTGCTGCTTAATATTTTTGTGGAAACCATGATTTCAGGATATTATATTATATTATATTATACCATGGTCTTTCTGAATACTCGATTCTGATTGGCTGGCAGGTATGCATTAAAACCGCTTAATGCACATGTAATTCCAAGTCAGTTTAATCACCGTCCTATATTAATGCACTGCTTTAATTGACACACACAAACAAACACACATACACACACATCACTCGCACATAAACACTGCGAGGGAGAGAGGTCGGAGATCGCAGATCGGGCTGCTGCTCGCACACAGAAACTTATTGCCAGTGCTGCCCCGCTACTTTTATTAATAAAATACCCTAGATACTAGATCGCTACATTATATTTCTTAGCAAGGAGGGGGTAAAATCGCTGTTTCTGACATAACTAAACAGCTTCATTGTTTGTAGAGAGAGACGCACAGACACAGGTAACTCACACAACTGTCTTCTCTCTCTCGATAGATCGATCGATAACTTATTCAAATAAATGCTATAATTCATTCAAATAAATGTGGTCTTACTGCACTATTTCATCTCTGTATCTGATTTGAAGTTGGCAGAATGCTAGATCTAACGAACCGTAACTGACAAAAATAACCACCATTTTTACCCTTCCGGTTAAATACTGCGCTGCAAACATCATAAACAGCTTTTAAGTTGTCAATGCTGGAAAATGACCATTATATTATATTATTATATTATATTATATTATATTATATTATATTAATTATATTATATTTTATTGACAGCCCAACATGAAATAACCATAAACACATACTAATGCACACACCTGTTGCGAGTTTCGGGGTCCTCGTGTGTGGAGTGACACATGGCACTGAACTGAGAGACGAAAAAGTCATATCTGCGATGGTAAGATGGCGTATCCTCCTCAATGTTTGCAAACTTCACAAACTACAAGGAATCAAACAAACACCCATAATGATTATGTCAGAAAAACACACAACCACACCCAATCTTTTCTCACACAATAACAGATTCAAAAACACTCCCATGCAAAGGTGTGAAGGCGATATTCCCCTTCCACGATGTGCAGAGGAAGTTACTGATATCAGCCAGAGAAGTGTGACATCTCATTAGAGCACAAGTGTGTGTTCAAGTGCATACAGCATGTGTGAATCATTGCCTGTTTGAATTAAACAATTTAAAGGGTGCATATTTGACATTTGTAGCATTTTATTTCTCTTTAAGTCCTCTAAAAACAGCCATAACTCAGTTTCACATGACCATTCCCACCCGTTGTCTGACCTTTAGAATTAAACATGCATTAAACAACCTCTGTTTCCACTGGCTTCTGTTTGGCAAGTTTCTAAATATTAAACGATGTGGGCAATCCTATGTTAAATAAACTCATGCAGTCAATACCATGATGATTTCTGAGTGACCTGGTTTTGCAAGGATATTAAATAATATCTCGTGTTAGGTTACGCAGCTTGACTGAGAAATGAAGTTTCAGCCTTTAATAGATGATGCAATGTTTAAAATACCTAAACAATTCAATGCAGAAGAATCTCTGCAACGCTTCAGAACCACTGGGAACAGATTTGAGAAACCCAGATGAGGAATAATACAGCAGAAAATTGAGTGAGCCGAGAAAGAGAGAGCGTGCAAGAGAGAATAAAAGGAACAAAAAAGCACCATAACATAAATGGCAGAAGAACAGTCGAAGCCATTTCTCATCTTTCACCTGAATCTCTCGCATCTCCTGCAGAGATTTTGGAGTGTATTTACTGATTTGTTCAGTCACACACTCAAACTTACAGAGTTGGTTCCCAGCACTTGTAAATCGGGTTCTCTGGATTCCAGCAGTTTGGCTACCATGTGTAAGAAGCTCTCCACAAACGGCTTGATACTCTGGGAATGACACGCCATCAACAACTGATCCAACGCCTCCATCGCTATTACCACGTACCTGTTCACACACACACACACACACACACACACACACACAAACAAACCCTGCTCTCACAACAAGAGGCCACTGATCTGAGCCCCTTCAGGCTGAGTGTGTGTCT